CTGACCTACAGAACCTCTCTGACCTACAGAACCTCACTGACCTACAGAACCTCACTGACCTACAGAACCTCTCTGACCTACAGAACCTCACTGACCTACAGAACCTCTCTGACCTACAGAACCTCACTGACCTACAGAACCTCTCTGACCTACAGAACATCTCTGACCTACACAAGGTGAGGTCAGTGAACAAGGCCAGGTTGATTCTGGCAGATCCTGATCATCCATGGTGAGTTCAGGTGTCTTCCATCTGGACGCAGGTATCTGCTGCCCAGATGTGGAACAAACAGACTGAACATCTGTAGAGATCAGGCTTCTCAACAAACACTGATGACTTCTGTTATTTTACCGTCTTAGTGTCTTGTGTGGATGTTAACGTGCCCACTGACTGTGAAACTACTTGTCCCTCTTGGATAATAAAGATTCTTGAGCTTGAACACACAATGTGCTCTTATTTGCCTCCACACACATTCATACTTTAGATCTCATTCAGACACTGATGGGACACATCAGAGACAATGAGGGGTTCAGTGTCTTGTCCAGCAACACTTCAGGATGTGACTGCTGGTGGACTTGAACAAGTTTAGAACAAAGGTATGTGTATGCACACTAATGGGTTTTTGATGTACTGTATGTCAACTTATGAGTAACTTGCATGTAACGTGTATGAATGTATGCATAACATATCCGTCACATACCTGTAACTTATGCCTAACCTATGGGAAACATCAGCATGCGCTGAAAATTGTGTGCAAGTACAAAATGATAGTCAGGCCATCATATGCAGTGTGCTGGTAACTTGTTCAAAATGTACACCCAACTAGTACCAGCATGTTTGTCATATTTTCTGACACAATTATTGGTGGGTGAAGTTATTTCAGCTGCAGCACCATCTTGACTCAGAGAACTCCAAAAGTTCAATAATTGTAGACGTGGCTCGGTCTTCTGAACACGGTAAAAACACTTCCACTGTCCGTACACACTACGGGACCAGAAGATGTGTTTTAAAACCAGAAAGTGTCTCAGCACAATCATTAGTTAAAAATTATTATTTAAATCAGTTAAAATGGTTTTACAACAATAAGGCAGACAAGGAATAAAGTACCATCAGCCGGAGTTTCTTACAGAGTTTACTTCAGGTCTTTTATTCTGATGAAACTTACAGTTTCTGTAGAATCTATATTTATCACCTCTTCAAAGTACCACTTCCTCAAACCATGTATGAAAAGATAAAACGATGATAATTTATTTCTCAGTATCAGATTGTTGCTGGTCTGACAGAAGAAAGGAACTATTCAACATCTTTCCAACGATGGAGGAAACGTATGCCAATGTTGAATTTACCAAACCTTTCTGTCACTTTTCAGAAGCAAATCAAAGAGGTAAGAACGACCTGACGGAGAACTGCTCCTTGGTTATTTCACATTATCCTGCACTATTTGTTTCATGAACATATTTTCTCTGTTAAGGTTCACGCAGCTCTGAGAAGAGGCTCCATCCAGCCATTATTGTTTCTTTGGGGCTCCTGAATGTTCTCCTGCTTGTTGGACTCATCACCCTGGGTGTTCACTGTGAGACTGTCAGAAATAAACCAGCTGACTTTATACAATTTAAAATTAAACAGCCCACACACTTTGATGATGATTTAAACACCCACCTCTCCTGATTTATTTCAGACCACGACTTGGATGCAGATCTCTCCACCACCAAAGATAATCTGACATCCATGACTGAAGAGAGAGACCTGCTGAATGCCAACCTCACTGAGACGACTGAAGAACTCATGAAGCTTCAAAGTTTGTTCAAACGAAGTAAGTCGTTCGTCGCTGCAGCTGCTGCTCCGTGTACAGATGTTGAAGACACTTTTACTACAGGAGGGGGTCACCAACACGGTGCCCGCAGGCACCTGGTCCCCACAGGGACCACCTGAGTTGCCCAGGCATGTTCTAAAAATAGCACTCATCATCAGGAGCACAGCCTAAAAATCATCATTAATAATGTTTTTAAATTCAAATACTGGTAATAACATTTACATAGATGTAAATTTGACATTAGAATAATTAATGAAAACTTTTGAATAAAATGTTTTACGTATTCAACTTAGCTCTGGAGTCAAAGTTCTGAACGTTGCGGCGATGCAGAGATCTCTGCGAGCAGCACAGCGATTATCTCTTTTGATCTCCCTGAGTAGAGGAGAACGTGGCAGGAAAAACTCAAGTAAACATTATTTTCACAAAGATTGGGAGGAAGAGTTTGTAGGGATGGCACCATCTACTGGGCCTTCCCCTGTCTGTACTCCCTTGTGTCTCTGCTTTGATTGTCTGATCAACATCACCTGTGTCTCATGTCCTGCTTGTGTATATAAAGTCTGTCTGTTAGTCCTGTCAGTGTCGGTTCGTCGTTGGGTATTGCCTGTCCTGTCCTGCCAGTCTGATCCTGTTTGATCCCGTCCTGAATCTGTTTTGTAAGTTTGCTGCCATGTCAGCCTTTTGATTTCCATCCATCCATCCATCCATTATCTTTACCCGCTTATTCCATTTTGGGTCACGGGGGTCGCTGGTGCCCATGTCCAGCAATCACTGTGCGAGGGGCGGGGTACACCCTGGACAGGTCTCAAGTCCATCACAGGGACACATAGAGACAAACGAGACAAACAACCATTCACTCTCTCTCTCACACCTAGGGACAATTTAGAGTTACCAATCAGCCTAACATGCATGTTTTTGGTCTGTGGGAGGAAACCGGAGCACCCGGAGAAAACCCACGCATGCACGGAGAGAACATGCAAACTCCACCCAGAAAGGCCCCTGGACCGGGGTTTTGAACCAAGGACCTGCTCACTGAGAGGCAGCAGCTCTACCAGTTGCGCCACCGTGCTGCCCGCCTTTTGATTTCTTCTTATTAAAAGTATTTTATTTTATACGTCTGCCTCCTGAGTCCTGCCTGCGCAACTGGGTTCCTGTCCTGACCTGCCTGAAACCCTGACAGTACGAACCGACCAAACCTGAACCCAGCAGGCAGGCTCATTCAGACTCTGCTCACCTGTTTTTGCCCGAGCTTGTCCAGATGGAAGGAGCTGCGATCCGGTGCGGTGCTTTTTGGACTAGACCTGTCCTGGGACTGGGAAGCTGCGGCCAGGCGGTTGAAGTTCTGCCTTTGCCTCTCCTACTGCAGGAGGAAAGACAAAGATCTCAGCTCCAGAAGAACCACACAGCACCTAGGTCCAGTTCCTCCTACTCACCAGTCTGCTCTGAGTGGACGTCGGGGGAGGACGCCGAGTCAGAGGACAAACTCTGGTTCGCCCCTGTACACCATCCACATCGCCGCCAGAAGGGAAAGAGCAGACGCAACCGGAACCGGTCCGCTGCACTTCCGCCCACAACACTTGCATGTCCAGCTCCTCGCACTCGGCCCGGCGAGGCTGGGTCTTTTGGTTCCGCCTCCTCCTGGTCCCAGCCTCCAGCCTTCTCTCAACAAACTGCAAAACTGGGGAGAATTTTGCAGGGGGGTTGCAGTCATCCCCCCGTTCATCTGCGGAGTGGACGAAGGGGGGCCAGCCCGGGGAGCGTGTTGGGCAATCGCTTCCTGCTCCTATTGAGGATGACCAGATCCCTGAGCTGCCTTCATTAGAGGACCAGGTGGTTCATCCTCTCATAAGAGGCTCCATAATGATTCTCAGAATCACTTCAAGAGACAGAGTTAGAGTTAGAAGACACCTGGTGGACCAACTCTTAGAGATCCCAGTCATCCAGAACCTGCAGCCAGCCCAAAGTCTGCAGGTCGTCCAGAATCTGCAGTGGTACCAGAACCTGCAGCCAGCCCAGAGTCTGGAGATAGTTCAAAACCTGCAGCCCGTCCAGAACCTGCAGCCCGTCCAGAACCTCCAGGTCATCCAGAACCTGCAGCAGCCAGCCCAGAATCTGCAGGTCATCCAGAACCTGCAATGGTACCTGAACCTGCTGCGGTACCTGAACCTGCTGCAGTAACCAGACCGCAGCCTGCGAAAGGATCCACACCTCAGCCTGTGGGTCCTGCGTCTGTTGAGGGGTCCTTACCTCAGCCTGAGGGTCCTGCGTCTGCTGAGGGGTCCTCACCTCAGCCTGAGGGTCCTGTGTCCCTTGTTGGTCCTGTTGAAGAAGATCCCAGCCAGCCTGCGACCTTCATCCCTGACCCGCCTGTGACCTCCGTACCTGACCTGCTCCAGCCCGTTGGACAGCCTCCACGCTGTCCACCTGACCTGCTCTGAGCCAGTGGACGGTCTCCTGGCCGTCTGGACATTTTGTGTTCCCTACTTAGTTTTGTCCCCAGGCCTTGTCTTGTCGGTTTTGTTTTGGTCCTCGTGTGTCTTTGTTCGGGCCCGCCACCCTTGCAGTTACTCCCTCCGCCCGCCCTAGTTTTCTGGGGGGGGGGGGGGGGGGGTTCTTGGGGATGCCAGGGGGCGTCCTTGAGGGGGGGTACTGTAGGGATGGCGCCATCTACTGGGCCTTCCCCTGTCTGTACTCCCTTGTGTCTCTGCTTTGATTGTCTGATTAACATCACCTGTGTCTCATGTCCTGTTTGCGTATGTAAAGTCTTTCTGTTTGTCTGTTATAACAATAAGCACAGGATCTCCACAGGGCTGTGTGCTTTCCCCCCTGCTTTTCTCCCTGTACACCAACTGCTGCACCTCCAGCCATGACTCTGTGAAACTTATTAAGTTTGCAGATGACACCACCCTCATCGGGCTCATCTCGGACGGTGATGAGTCTGCATACAGGAGGGAGGTGGACCGGCTGGTAACCTGGTGCAGCAGCAACAACCTGGAACTCAATGCCCAGAAGACAGTGGAGATGATTGTGGACTTCAGGAAAGCCACAGCCCCTCTGCCCCCCTTCACCTGTAATGATACCCCCATCACCACTGCGAACTCTTATCGGTTCCTCGGCACCACCATCACCCAGGACCTCAAGTGGGAGCCAACCATCAGCTCCCTCATCAAGAAGGCCCAGCAGAGACTGTACTTCCTGCGACAGCTGAAGAAGGCCAAGCTGCCGGCCAAGCTGATGGTGCAGTTCTACACGGCCATCATGGAGTCCATCCTCAGCTCCTCCATCACGGTGTGGTACGCCGGGGCCACTGCCAGGGACAGACTGAGACTGCAGCGCGTTATGCGCTCAGCTGAGAAGGTGATCGGCTGCAGCCTTCCATCCCTCCACGACCTGTACGTCTCCAGGACTGTGAGGCGAGCAGGTCGGATCACAGCTGACCCTGCTCACCCTGCACACGGACTGTTTGAACCACTCCCCTCAGGCAGGAGGCTTCGGTCCATTCGGACCAGAACCTCCCGCCATAAGAACAGTTTCTTCCCCTCTGCTGTTGGACTCCTGAACACTCATAATGCTACCTCATAATTTCTGCTTTGGTCACATTACATCTGTTTTATAACTGAATACTCCATCTGTACTGTTCTCTAAGCTTTTTTATTGTTTTCTATTGTATGGGTGTACATATGGTTATGTTCTTAATTTTACTTTATTTGTGGGTGTACACAGGCTTATGTCTTATGTAATGTTCTCATTTTTATTTTATTTTTACTTTATTTTACTTTACTACTATTCGCACCTTATTTCGAAGCAAATTCCTAGTTTGTGAACCTCGTTCTTTGACATGGCGATAATAAACTGATTCTGATTCTGATTCTGATGATGTCGTTGGGAAGTGGAAGGAATACTTCTCTGACCTTATCAATCCCACATGCACATCTTCCATGGAGGAAGCGGAGTCAAGGGACTTTGGTGTTAGTCTGTTCATAACTGTGGCTGAGGTTACAGAGGTAGCTATAAAGCTCTATGACAGCTAAGTTCTGGGGGTGGATGAGATTCACCCTGATTTCCTAAATGCTCTGAATGTTGTGGGGCTGTCTTGGTTGACACACCTTTGCAACATAGCACTGACATCAGAGACAGTGCAACTAGATTGTCAGAATGAGGTAGTGGTTCCCCTTTTCAAAAAGGGGGACTGGAGGGTGTGCTCCAATTACAAGGGCATCACTCTCCTCAGCCTCCCTGGTAAGGTCTATTCAGCGGTACTGGAGAAGTGAATTAAATTGTTAGTCGAATTTCAGATCCAGAAGGAACAATGCGGGTTCCGTCCTGGCCATGGGATACTGGACCAGCTCTACCCTCACTAGGTTCCTCGAGGGGTCATGGGAGTTTGCCCATCCAGTCTATGTGTTTTGTGGACTTGGAGAAAATATTTGACCGTGTTTCTTGGAGTACACTGTGGGGAGTGACCATGAGTAAGGGATTGAGGGCCCATTGCTACGGGTTGTTTGGTCCCTATGCAAGCGGTGCAAGAGTTTGGTTCGCATTGCCAGTAGTAAGTTAGACCCTTTCAGGATGGTAGTTGGACTCCAACTGGACTGCCCGTTGTCACCAATTCTGTTCATAACTTTTATGGACAGAATTTCTCAGTGCAGCCACGGGATGGAGAGATTCCAGTTCAGTGGCCTCAGGATTCCATCTCTGCTCCTTGCAGATGACGTAGTCCTGTTGGCGCTATTGTCCCATGATCTTCAGCTCTGTACCGAGCGATAAGCTCTCAGACTCAGACGCTGCATGAGCTGAACTGTAAGCTGGACACGATTTCTGAGAATCGCAGGCCACTTGCGGTTCCTGGGACTCACTGGCAGGAAGGAATCAACCTTGGAGAAGGCTACAAGCTCAGTTCGGGGGTATGACCACAAAATTTGGCTGTTTGGATTCGCCACTGAGAGAAACCAGCAGAACTTTGAAGGAAGACATGAAATTCAAGCAGAGTCTGCCTGACCCAAAATAATTGTGTTATCTGAATTTGGCTTCCCCACTCGGCCTTGATTTGGTCAGCTATCTCAAACTCTCCTGGTTGTTTATGTGAACGAAAAGCTTTGCTCTGCTTTGTTCCCTCCCGCTTCCCTCCCAAGGACACCTCTGGATTTGTGTCAGAGTTGAACTGGTTGATAGACACTGTCGTCTCTTATTAGGACTATGGAATTTTCTGGCAGGCCACAGACAACTCATTGCCCTCGTCAGCCTCCTCATGTGTAAATGTGTTAATGTGTTGATGTCACTATGTCTGTTGTTTATGTGTGAGGTCTTTTTTTTTTCAACTCTCACACTGTGCCTCGGCCAGGACATAGCGTGAGATACAATTTTTTTTTACCACCCCCTCCCCTCGTGTTTTCTCTTTTCCTTACTTTTGTCTGTTTGTCTGTCTAAAATAGATCTCACTTGTAAACAAGTCTCCGAGGCTCAACATGATTAACCTGTATAAATAAAGGTTGAATGAATGGAGTAGCTCAGTCTCAAAAAGGTTAGTGACCCCTGCCCTACCTACAACAAAGTTCCCCGAACTCCCATAACAATGATAGCCCCAGACTACCTAACGTTCCCCAAACCCCTATTTTCAGTATGTCTCCGACAATACAGCAAAGTTCTCTGAACTTCTTTTTACTAATGATAGCCCCTGAGAATCTAATGAAGTTCCTTTGTGAGTTTCTATTTGGGATCCCAGAATTCCCTCTATACCCCTTCGTGACATACCCGAAATATAAACCCCCGCATGGTCTATATTTAGAGAATATCCCTTCATGATTTATCCTAAGCAAGCCCCTTGGTGACTGCTCTTTGAAATCCCAGATCTCCCTGTAAGCCCCAATGTGGCATACACATTGAAAGTCCCTCTGTGACTTCCATATAAACAACATGTCGAATAAAACCAGCTCTTTAACATCAGTGCATGGCTTGGCTCTGGTTGTACATCTGTCACCTCGCTTGACCCACCAGCAGACCTGGCCTCCCTAAAAGTCATCAGTTCAGCTCAGGAGATTAATTCTCCTCCGTGCACAGTTTCAGATCCAAGCCTGGCGGTTCAAGGTCAAATGTTGGGGCCAGCACTCGAAGGACCAAAATGTTGGAGAGAAATATTCTCGTTTTATTTCACTAGCTCAAAGAAACCACACTCAACAACAGGAGAAGATTTTTAACCGCTTTTTACTTGCAAAGACAGATTTTCAGGACAGGTTATATACAGGAAGTACATGCATGCAGCCCAGTCGCAAGAATCTGCCATGAGTGGTGTGCAAAGTTTGTTTTTATACCTTATCAGTTCAGCCAAGCTCAAAGACTCGGAGGTGACCTTGAAGCAACAGCTGCAACCTGCAACCTCACCCAGCTCCTCAACCAGCTCTCTCTGCTAAACCAAACATATGGTTCATGGGCAGAGTTAACATTCTCAGCCATGGTAGTTAGAAACATCCATAGCCTGTGACCCAAAATTCACTATAACTGTCCTCTGTGACTGAAGTGAGAGACCTGCTGAATGTCTTCCTCACTGAAATGACTAAAGAGCTCATCAAGCTGAAGAGTTTGTCTGAGCAAAGTAAGCTGGTTGGAAGATCAAGTTTCACCTGATATAGTCATTTTTCCATCCTGCCCCCTTTTTACAGGATCTTAATGTCTGCTTAGCTCTTTGTTTTGAACGTAGAGTTGGAAAAAAATCTATATATGACCCAACAAAGTTAAATCAGGTCCTCTGGATGATTTATTTTAGTTGAACAAAAATAAATCATCCAGAGGACCTGACGTAACTTTATTGGATGTTTCTACCTGAATAAGTGAGCATGAATCAGGATATATTTGTATCTATATTTGTATATATTTGTATAATACATGATTAAAATTGGAGCCTGTTCTTTCAGAAAAAACATGCCCTGCAGGATGGAAGATGTTCAGTTACTCCTGTTACTTCTTCTCTTCAACATCTGCCTCCTGGGATCAGGGCAGAGAGGACTGCAGGACCAGAGGAGCAGATCTGGTGGTGGTCAACGATGCAGATGAACAGGTGCTGTGTTCTGTTAGGTGACATCACTGAGTGTTTAGAAGTACCACTGACATGATCCTTGTTGCCCATTTAAATATGAAACTCTAACAACGACCGTCTGTAAACGACGAGTCAGACACAGACTTTTATAACTAGCAACAAAATGTGTAAGAGTTTAACACTCGGGGGAGTGGTGGCGCAGAGGTTAGAGAAGGTGGGCATGTGATCGGAAGATCGCCGGTTCAAGCCCCAGTACCAACAACATCAAAAATGTGGGTGGGGTAGGTGAAGCACCCACACCTGCCCCCACCCTGGGCCCCTGAGCAAGGCCCTTAACCCCCACCATCTGCTCCTAAACAGGTCTCTCTTGAAAATGAGTCCTCGTGGCTCAATGAGGCTACCTGGACAAATAAAGAGTAAATGAAAAATAAATAAATGTAAGAGTTTAACACTCGATTAAATGTGTGTCTTTGCAGGAATTTATCTCTACATTCAGCAACAAGATTTACTGGATCGGTCTGACTGACAAAGAAACAGAAGGATCCTGGGAGTGGGTAGATGGAACTCCTCTGGATGTGACGTAAGTTATTCATCCATCCATCCATTATCTTTACCCGCTTCTTCCTTTTCGGGTCGCGGGGGTCGCTGGTGCCCATGTCCAGCCATCACTGTGCGAGGGGGGGGGGGGGGGGACACTCTGGACAGGTCTCCAGTCCATCACAGGGACAAAGAGACAAACAACCATTCACTCGCTCTCTCTCAGGGACAATTCAGAGTCACCAATCAGCCTAACATGCATGTTTTTGGTCTGTGGGAGGAAACTGGAGCACCCGGAGAAAACCCACGCATGCACGGAGAGAACATGCAAACTCCACCCAGAAAGGCCCCCGGACCGGGATTTGAACCAAGGACCTGCTCGCTGAGAGGCAGCAGCTCTACCAGTTGCACCACCGTGCTGCCCAGTTCATGAAATATTTAGCTAAAAGACAAACTATAAGTATGTAAACGTCTGACTAAATATTTGTTTTACTTCACTTGTTCTGTTTCCTGCCAGGTACTGGTCAAGTGAACAACCTGATGATGGTGGAGGAGACCCACAGTGGGGGGAGGAGGACTGTGTACATATCAGAAGCCGTTACAAATTGTGGAATGACTTTTCATGTGAAGCTTCTAATTCATGGATCTGTGAAAAAGAGGCACAGTTTGTGTGAAGAATATTAGAAAAGGCCTGATATGAATGACCAAGATTTAATATTTTTATTATTACACAGCAGCTTTGAGTAAATGCAGCTTTACAAAACATAAATTAAGTGATGTGCTAGCAGAGCAATCTGTAGACAATTCATGTCTTTTTTTCCAGTTAGACAATAACAACAAAAAACTAATCAGTTCTTAATTTAAACAATTAGAGACCCTTTGTTCAAAAGTAGGATTTATACATCCAGGACACTGGCCCGAAGCCACACTTGAACAATCCTTGAACGCAAACATCTATCCAGTCCGTTAACAACAGGGCCGTTAATTCAGACCAGGTTTAAATCATCTCGGATTGATGCAGGTTCACGGTTTTCCTACAAGACCCACTCAGTAGATCACAGAAACGCTGATTAAACATGTGCATTCCACTTCTCCCCAGCGGAGCAACAGATAATCATGAATGCACATGGAGATGAAACACGTGATCACTAAAAATGGAAGCACCACTGCTGTTATTAAGCTAAGAGAAAAATAATGTCTAATTATAGTGCACAGATTGAAAACATGATGTCCCCATTGAGTTTGTTGATTCCTATAAATATTTGGGTATCTTGGTCGACTCACATCTCTCTTTTAAGCTCCACGAGGAAAACTTGGTAAAGAAACTGGAAGTTAAACTGGGTTTCTTTTTCAGAAACAGGTCCTGTCTAACTCTGAATGTTAGGAAACGCCTTGTATCTGTGACTTTCCTTCCCTCCATTGATTACGGTGACATTATTTACATGAACACTCCTATAAGCACCCTGCAGATGTTGGATGCTGCAGATGTTGGATGCTGTCTATCATGGTGCACTAAGATTCATAACTGGCTGTAACTACCGTACCCACCCCTGCACCCAGTATTCACTGGTTAACTGGTCACCATTAACTCCACACAGACTCTCCCACTGGTACATTTTCATCTTTAAATCACTTCTTGGTCTGCTGCCTTCATACATCTCCTCCTACATGTCTCTGTGTGAGTGCAGCTACAGCGTGCGCTCTCAGGACATCATTACCTGCAGTGTTCCCTCAGTGAGGACTGAACTAGACAAAAGGACCTTCTCCTACTCCGCTCCTGTTTCCTGGAACATCTTGTAAAAAGACCTGAAGCTCTCGACCTTTGACCTCTCTAAGTGTCTTTAAGAATCTGTTGGACTCCTGGCAGGGACCAATGCAGACATGTTCCTGTTTTTAGTTTTCTACATTCATCTTAGAATCTAGCTGTTTTTTGTTACTTTTTCTTGCCATCTTATCTGTAAAAAATAAAAATCTGTATGCCTTTTTATAACTGTTTACTGTTGTCATGTCATTGTTCTTTGTTGAAACCAGGTCTCTCTTGTAAATGAGTCCTCGAGGCTCAATGGGATTTACTTGTAGAAATAAAGGTTGAATGAAAAAATCAGTAATTTCAAAAACATACACTTTATGTTCCACTGAATTTGGTCCTGCTTGTTTGGACCTTTACTTCTGACAGATAATATCCTCTTGTTTTTGCCTAATTTGCTCAGTTTTGCAGCAGTTTTGTTAAGAAATAATGTTAAACGGATGGAGCTCAGCTTCTATGCTGCTACCCGTAACATTATGTCCCAGGAAGTCCCGCGCTGAAAGATTTTATATAAGATTTGTTGAAATAGCACAAAAACTGTGGAACGAGTTAAGTGCCAAAAAAGATAAGGAAGTACGATAATAACGACCTTTCACTTAAATGTGTTACTTCCTCAAACTATATAAAAAATAAAGTAAAAGCATCTGTTTCTCATTTATCACATAGTTCCCTTTTGCTGGAAATCTGATCATCAGAGGAACAACCAGTAAGACGCACCATCTTTATTTAACGAGCGCGTTACACACACACACAGGACCAAAGTGCTGTTCACATAATCAAACAGACAGAATGGAAATAATAAAGAAAGATGGAAAGAAAATGGTAAATGGACTTTACTTATAGAGCTCCTTTCTTTCTCATCAAGACACTCGAAGCTCTTTACAACGATCTGTGCCTCATGTACCCGTTCATACATCACTCTACTATTTCTGTACAAAGAATCATCAGAGATTTATCACATTCAGACCCTGATGGGACACACATCGGAGGCAACGAGGGTCCAGTGCCTTTCCCACGGACACTTCAACATGTGACTGCTGGTGGATACGAAACCACAACTCTTGCATTGAAAGACGACTGCTCTAACCAGTCAGCCACAGCTGCCCAGTAAGAAGAAAGACAGAAGTGTCAACTTCTCAGATGGTTTCAAAGATCATGCTTTTCTCTCCTCCTCAGTTCAGCAGAGTCCACAGAGCTCAGGAGGTGTCCTTGTCTGCAGCTGCATGTTGTAACCTTCTCACCATGCTCTCTCCACTGACCCAAACATATGGTTCATGGGCAGATTTACAATCATGTCCAGGGAGACGGCCTCAATTATGTCTTGGGCTTCTTGCTCTCAGCCATAGCAATAAAAACATCCATGACCTTTGACCCACATGTGAACTCACTTTGTAAGAAGGTGTAGCAATATGAAGGACGTGAGATGGAGGAAGAAGGGTGACACTTTCTCCACTCCCCTCCACTACATTTATTTTATTTAATTAGCTCTCGTTAAAGAGGAGCACCAGCTGGTCAGTTTATTGACCAACAACAACTTAATTAATATTTTCACCCTTTAATGATCAGAATCAGTCACTGAAGTAGAATCCGTTAATTACAGGGAGTTTTACACCAGAACTCATGAAAATTCATCTGAATGAAGAGGCCAAAGTTGTCTTTAAAGTTTTATTACAAAAATAATCAAACAAAGAATAAACAACAATAATAAACAAACAATAATATGAATCAGTCAAAGCTTAATTCTTTTATCTGAGGCTAAATTGACTCTTTGAGCAGGAATTATTTCAGTTTTATACGCGCATGAATTTAGACAAAGTTTTACTATTTTAATAAATAGTTTACTTTGGATTTTGGTTGAAAGAATTTGTTTAATCTGATCAGATAAAGTTATTTATCGTAACTGCAAGCAGGAACTGATTTATCAAGTTGCATCAGCTTCAAATATGATAACCAGACCAAGAGTTGCATCATGTCACCAGGTTCTGCTCCTTACCGGGTCAGTGTTGATGGCACCACTCGTCTTTCTGGGGTTCTCTGGTGGATCTGACCAGAGACACCATGAGGAGGACTCACCAGGAACTGCCGAAGGTAGCTGACCGTCGTTCAACTCCTGAGCAGATAAACACGTGGCTCAAGAGTTGAACCAGTGGACCTTGGCACTACGACCAGGATCAGGTCCACAGACAAACCGTCTTCCGGTTCGGGGCTGGAGACAAACTGCTCAGTTCGGGGGTCCAAGGTGAACTGTTGTTCACACAACGAGACTTTGTGCAGAACATGAGCTCTGAGAAGATTGTTTGACGGACATGAGAACATTGTGGCTCCCTCTGAAGAAAACAGCTTCCAGCTCAAAGAACGTTTCCACAGGTGTCTCTGAAGGAACAATCACTTTCTGAAAAACAGAGAAATGTGTTGTTCACATTGTAATATTTCACATGATTTCATTATAATGACTGAAAACAATAATCACAATTATTCATGTTCACACTTGTTAATCAAATAAAACAAACATCATTAATGATTTGTTTTCTTTCTTAGAAACAGGAAGAAATAAGATAAAGATTAGTCAGACTGTAGCTGAGTCTGTGTCCAAGGACAGGACATGTGGACAAACATCAAGTACTGAAGTCAGAGGAAACTTTACAGAACACGATTCATGGAGAGTCTGGAAGATGAACAAGGGTCAGGGGTCACAGTTAGAGCAGCTTCATGCTACAAAACAAATACAACTGTGTTTTTATCAGAAGCTGTGGTTTTAATGTTGATTCACCTTTTATGAGAAAGTTTTACTGAGTCTCTCAACTTGCACCTTTGTTGGTTTGGACTTTTGACATGGAAGAACAAACTCTCAGGGATCATCAGGATGTGCAGCAGAACTGCTGGCAGAGCCCTACAGAACCTGACTGACCTACAGAACCTCACTGACCTACAGAACCTCACTGACCTACA